AAATATAACATTTTGAGATATCGAAAATAAATAATTAAATCCCTCAAATGCAAATATAAGTAAGTATCTTGTTATATTTAATATAATAGTGATGTTGAAGTGATGTTGTGCACATAATGTATATTATTGTAATGTTCATTAATGATACAATAAACATTGTGCTATGTTCTTCTTTTATTGATATGTTTGTTTTTATTTGAATAACTATCCCTTCATCTCTGTGTCTAGATACATATCCCCCTCCCTCAGCTTTATTGCAAGCCTATCTGACCCTCACATATCTTTATTCAACAGCCTGATTTCAGAATTACCAAGCCCCAATACTGTTGTAAGAAAGTCTGGAGATGGTGTAGGCATCCTTCTCTCCCCTCAATGTACCTTTCAACCAATAATAACTCCCCCTGCCCTATCCTTTTCTTCTTTTGAAGTTCACACTGTCCTCCTGTTTAAACCCACTCCTTTAAGAACTGCTATCATCTACTGCCCCTTCGGTCATCCTAGGCTATTTATTGAGTACTTTTCTTCCTGGCTTCCCCACTTCCTCTCATCTAGCACTCCTTCCCTTATACTTGGGGATTTCAATATCCCAATTAACAACCCCAACTGCACTGATGCATCTCATCTGCTTTCTGTAAACTCCTCCTTTGGCTCTACGCAATTGTCCAATTTAGCAACCCATTCAGCGGGAAACACTCTTGATCTCGCCTTCACCGATCTCTGTACCGCCTCTAATATCTCCAATATTCCTTTTCCTCTATTTGACCCCCATCTGCTGACTTTTGACATCGGCATACCTAAGACCCAATTGACACCACCATCTGAACATTAATCTCACAGAAACCTCCAATATCTTGACCTAGAGCATTTCTCCACTAATCTCCAAACTCTCCTTTTACATATCTTAAACCTCACCTGTCCTAGCTCTGCAACCTCCTTCTACAATTCCACCCTCTCCTCTCAACTAAACATCATGGTACCTCCTACATTTAAACACCGCAAGCGCCCCCAACAACAACCTTGGCACACCAAGCTGACTTGATATCTCAAAAATGCTCCAGTACGACTGAACGCTCATACAGCTTAGCTCTTGATTCTGCAAAAGTAAATTACTTTAATACCCTCATAACCACACTCTCCCGTGAACCCAAATTACTATTTCACACATTTAACTCTCTTCTTCACCCTATTGTTCCTCCTCCACCTACTAACTTGATCGCCTCAGACTTTGTAACTCACTTCACTGACAAGATCTCTACAATCAGGGAAGAAATCTCTCATCTTTCTTCTTCCCCTTACAATACTTCCCCTAACCTGACTCCCTCTGCTGTTCTATGTTCATTTGCACCCGCTACAGCGGAAGAGGTTTCTGCTCTACTCCAGTCCTCCCGCCCCACCACCTGCTCCCTAGATCCAATTCCCTCGCATCTCATCTGTACTCTGCCTTCTCTTTCTCTACCTCTCACTAAAATTCTCAATCTCTCTCTCTCCTCTGGCATATTTCTATCGCCCTTCAAACATGCAACTATAACCACAATTCTAAAGAAGCCCAACCTTGACTCTAACTCCCCGTCCAACTACCGTCCTAGCTCACTACTGCCTTTTCCATCCAAGATCCTTGAAAGAATTGTGTATGTGAGATTGACAGACTTCCCCGAGTCCAATTCTCTACTAGACTCGCTTCAGTCTGGTTTCCGAGCAAAAGTATCCAATAATCTACTCGCTGCAAAATTTTGTGGTCACTACTCTATCCTAATTCTCCTTGACCTTTCTACAGCTTTTGACACTGTTGATCATTAACAGCTTCTTCTCATCCTCCGCAATATTGGTCTACAAGATATTGCTCTCTCCTGGTGCTCCTCCTACCTCTCCCAGTGCTCTTTCTGTGTTTGTTTCTCTGGCTCTGCTTCTTCTCCCCAACTCCTCTCTGTTGGTGTCCCCCAAGGTTCAGTCCTTGGCAGGGGCGTACCTAGAGCATTTGGCACCCGGGGCGGATCCTGTGCTTGGCACCCTCCCAAAAAACGTTCTTTTTTTTTTTTTTTACAATTTGTAAACTTTGCAAAACCGCTGTCAGCCCCTCCTACAAAACCTTTGTCCTGTCCTGCCCCTCCTACAAAACCTCTGTCCTGTCCCTTCTACAAATCCTGTACTGCCTCGTCTACAAAACCCCCGCAACCCCCTTCCACAAATCCCCTGCTTATCCCCCCTTATAAAGACTCCTGTCCCAATACAAAACCCCCGCCCCCTTCTACAAAAATCCCTGCAGCCCCACACACACATTTACAGACAGTCACACACTCAGTTACAGACAGTCACACACTCAGTTACAGGCAGACAGTCACATACAGTCACAGGCAGACAGTCACACATACACATTTCCTCCGTGCGGCCAGTTTATCAGCTGTTTGCTTGTGTGAGCTGTACTGGCCGCACGGCACCCTAACTACCATGGGACACTGTGCAGCCACAGCTCACACAGCCTCCTCCAGCCAGGGCGGTGCAAGGATTTTTGCCACGCTAGGCAAAAGTAAAGTTTGCCGCCTCCCCCCATGTGACATCACAATGCCCCACCCATATGATTTGCCATGTTAACTAACGCCAGTGCTGCAGTGCCGCCGTGTTTACATTTAAAGGCCTGCAAGGGCAGGCTTATAGACACCAGAACCACTACATTAAGTAGTGGTTCACCAGGACCTAGTGTTTCTTTAATGTGAGGTAAAGTGGGAAGCGGTACCACGAATAATATACTAGTGCCTACTTACAACCAGATGAGGATGATGATGGGCTCTAGCTGCGATGCAGCTCCACTGGTCTGGTGCAGAACAGGCTCTCTGGAGCGGTTTGTAACTGTGGTCACAAAAATCAATGTTTTGGGAGAACGGGAAGCAGCTCCATTTTTTGGGGGTCCTTTACACAGCTCAAGGTCTGGGTCCCAGGGTCCACCTTCATGATCCACCAATGAGTTTGTTCACAGGGGGTGGAGTGTGTAGGGGATATCCTGATATGTGTGTAAGGAATGCATTGTGTGAAATTGTGTTTGTATGTGTAAGGACTGCAAGGTGTGTTTCTGTGTATGTATGGGATGCATTGAATGTGTGTAGGGGGTGCATTGAGTGTGTGTAATGAATGCATTGTGTGTTTCTGTGTGTGTAAGGGATGCATTGTGTGTAACGGTTGCATTGCTTGTGTATGTGTGTCTGTGTGTGTAATGCATTGTGTGTTTTTCTGTGTGCAAGGGGAACATTGTGTGTATGAGATGAATGTCAATCTCTCCTCCCGCTCCAATTTCCTTCTCCTCCTCCCAATTTCTCTTTCTCACCCCCCTCCTAATTTCTCTCCCCTCCTAATTTCTCTTTCCCCCCTCCTAATATCTCTTCCCCCCTCCTAATTTCAATTTCTCTCCCCCCCTAATTTCTATTTCTTTCCCCCCTCCTAATATCTCTCCCTCCTCCTAATATCTCTCCCTCCCTCCTAATTTCTCTTCCCCCCTCCTAATTTCTCTCTCACCCCCCTCTCCTTTCTCTTTCTCTCCCCCTCCTTTCTCTTTCTCACCTCCTTTCTCACCCCCCCTTTCTCCTCTTTCTCACCCTCCCTCCTTTCTCACCCCCCTCTCCTTTCTCACCCCCCTCTCTCACCCCCTCTCCTCTTTTCACCCCCCCTTTCTCCTCTTTCACCCCCTCTCCTTTGTCACCCCCCCTTTCTCCTCTTTCACCCCCCCTCTCTCACCCCCCTCTCTCCTCTTTTTCACCCCCCCTCCTTTTCCTCACCCCCTCCTTTTCCTCCTTCATCTCCCCCTACCTTTGCTGTAGCGTGGCCGAGCCCTGTATAGTCCGCGGGTACAGAGGCAGCTGTCTCCTGTGCCGGCGGGACTATTCTTTGGGAAAGTAATTTGCTGAGTGTGCACTTCCTGTTAGTCGGCGAGGAGTACAGGGGCTGCTTCTGCCCGCGGACTATCATGCTGCCGGGCTTGGCCACTCTACAGCAAAGGAAGCTGACAGGAGGGAGCGCTGAGCGCTGAGCGCTCGGGCGGCTGCAGCATGGGGGGGGGCGGCGGGGCAGGGGGCGCCCCTGGTCATGGCACCCCCCATCCTGGTGGCACCCGGGGCGGACCGCCCCCCCGCCCCCCCCTTAGTAAGCCACTGGTCCTTGGTCCCCTACTGTTCTCTATCTATACCGCCTCCCTTGGTAAACTCATAAGCTCCTTTTGGCTTCCAATCTCATTTCTATGTGGATGACACACAAATCTATCTGTCCTATCCTGA